AATGAGATTACTCGTATGTATGTAATGTTGAGGTACATACAGGTAACCACCCCTATAAAATTTTCCATAAATACTACCATACATTATTTTTCCTCAAATACTCACAGAGTTTTATAATCAGGTGAGGTACACACACCATCACTGACATAGCTGACTGACAACATATAGATAAATGCTTCTACCCACAACTTGATAAATTAGACACATGTACAACACTTGAGTATCTTTATTGAGGAAACGTTTCGCCACACAGTGGCTTCATCAGTTCATACAAAGGAGAATGGTGAAGAACTGGAGAAGTTTGAGATAATAAGTCCCTCAGCCTTCAGTCGATGTAATCAGTCCATCTATCTTGAAAATAATACAGCGTATGTGTGAAGAAGTGACTTATATACTGTAGACAGGAGAGGTGAAGCAGTCGTAGGTGGTATTACATTATCCTATATATGGACTGATGAAGCCACTGTGTGGCGAAACGTTTCCTCAATAAAGATTCCCAAGTGTTGGACATGTGTCTAGTTAATCGACCGGCAACATGCCATACGCTCATCCTGTGACGTCATCAGCAAACTATATAACACGATCATAACTCTTCCCAACCTTATTCGTCTCTCACACAGTGAGAGCTTCAAGTGTCACTCTCTCACACAGTGAGAGCTTCAAGTATCACTCTCTCACACAGTGAGAGCTTCAAGTGTCACTCTCTCACACAGTGAGAGCTTCAAGTATCACTCTCCCACACAGTGAGAGCTTCAAGTGTCACTCTCTCACACAGTGAGAGCTTCAAGTATCACTCTCCCACACAGTGAGAGCTTCAAGTGTCACTCTCCCACACAGTGAGAGCTTCAAGTGTCACTCTCTCATACAGTGAGAGCTTTAAGTGTCATTCTCTCATACAGTGAGAGCTTCAAGTGTCACTCTCCCACACAGTGAGAGCTTCAAGTGTCACTCTCTCATACAGTGAGAGCTTCAAGTGTCACTCTCTCATACAGTGAGAGCTTCAAGTGTCACTCTCCCACACAGTGAGAGCTTCAAGTATCACTCTCCCACACAGTGAGAGTTTCAAGTGTCACTCTCCCACACAGTGAGAGCTTCAAGTGTCACTCTCCCACACAGTGAGAGCTTCAAGTATCACTCTCCCACACAGTGAGAGTTTCAAGTGTCACTCTCCCACACAGTGAGAGCTTCAAGTGTCACTCTCCCACACAGTGAGAGCTTCAAGTGTCACTCTCCCACACAGTGAGAGTTTCAAGTGTCACTCTCCCACACAGTGAGAGCTTCAAGTGTCACTCTCCCACACAGTGAGAGTTTCAAGTGTCACTCTCCCACACAGTGAGAGCTTCAAGTATCACTCTCCCACACAGTGAGAGCTTCAAGTGTCACTCTCCCACACAGTGAGAGCTTCAAGTGTCACTCTCCCACACAGTGAGAGCTTCAAGTATCACTCTCCCACACAGTGAGAGCTTCAAGTATCACTCTCCACACAGTGAGAGCTTCAAGTGTCACTCTCCCAACACAGTGAGAGCTTCAAGTATCACTCTTCCAACACAGTGAGAGCTTCAAGTGTCACTCTCCCACACAGTGAGAGCTTCAAGTATCACTCTCCCACACAGTGAGAGCTTCAAGTGTCACTCTCCCACACAGTGAGAGCTTCAAGTATCACTCTCCCACACAGTGAGAGCTTCAAGTGTCACTCTCCCACACAGTGAGAGCTTCAAGTGTCACTCTCCCACACAGTGAGAGCTTCAAGTATCACTCTCCCACACAGTGAGAGCTTCAAGTATCACTCTCCCACACAGTGAGAGCTTCAACTATTACTCTCCCACACAGTGAGAGCTTCAAGTGTCACTCTCCCACACAGTGAGAGCTTCAACTATCACTCTCCCACACAGTGAGAGCTTCAAGTGTCACTCTCCCACACAGTGAGAGCTTCAAGTATCACTCTCCCACACAATGAGAGCTTCAACTGTCACTCTCCCACACAGTGAGAGCTTCAAGTGTCACTCTCTCACACAGTGAGAGTTTCAAGTATCACTCTCCCACACAGTGAGAGCTTCAAGTATCACTCTCCCACACAGTGAGAGCTTCAACTATCACTCTCCCACACAGTGAGAGCTTCAAGTGTCACTCTCCCACACAGTGAGAGCTTCAAGTATCACTCTCCCACACAGTGAGAGCTTCAAGTATCACTCTCCCACACAGTGAGAGCTTCAACTATCACTCTCCCACACAGTGAGAGCTTCAAGTATCACTCTCCCACACAGTGAGAGCTTCAACTATCACTCTCCCACACAGTGAGAGCTTCAAGTGTCACTCTCCCACACAGTGAGAGCTTCAAGTGTCACTCTCCCACACAGTGAGAGCTTCAAGTATCACTCTCCCACGCAGTGAGAGCTTCAAGTGTCACTCTCCCACACAGTGAGAGCTTCAAGTGTCACTCTCCCACACAGTGAGAGCTTCAAATATCATTCTCCCACACAGTGAGAGCTTCAAGTATCAATCTCCCACACAGTGAGAGCTTCAACTATCACTCTCCCACACAGTGAGAGCTTCAAGTGTCACTCTCATACAGTGAGAGCTTCAAGTGTCACTCTCCCACACAGTGAGAGCTTCAAGTGTCACTCTCCCACACAGTGAGAGCTTCAAGTGTCACTCTCTCATACAGTGAGAGCTTCAAGTGTCACTCTCCCACACAGTGAGAGCTTCAAGTGTCACTCTCCCACACAGTGAGAGCTTCAAGTGTCACTCTCCCACACAGTGAGAGCTTCAAGTGTCACTCTCTCATACAGTGAGAGCTTCAAGTGTCACTCTCCCACACAGTGAGAGCTTCAAGTGTCACTCTCCCACACAGTGAGAGCTTCAAGTATCACTCTCCCACACAGTGAGAGCTTCAAGTGTCACTCTCCCACACAGTGAGAGCTTCAAGTATCACTCTCCCACACAGTGAGAGCTTCAAGTATCACTCTCCCACACAGTGAGAGCTTCAAGTATCACTCTCCCACACAGTGAGAGGCATCTAGCACGTCACTATATCCTGAGGGTGATCATAAACACCGTCACTATGTACCTTCTCCTACCCTTCCTGTGTGTCATGGTGGCTGCCGCTCATCCTAATGACTTGGGAGTCAATCCAGAAGAACTTCATTCGACATTGATCGTGAACCAGTTGTTGTTGTCCCAACAAACAGAACTCTTAAAGGAGATGGTCAACGCAGTACAACGTAATGAAGGTAATTGATAATTTACACTAATAGCAAATACATATTTCAGCTCCGAGAGGAAAACACACACGCCATTATTAATGTTCTTGAGTTTCTAAACTAACTTGCTCATGGCTTCGCTACTTACCAGATTTATCAGGAATTATATTCATATGATAAGAAATTTAATACAATTGGTTTTCATTGCAATATATATAGAGAAAAACGACGATAAACGGGCTAAAATTAACATTAATTTATTTTTCAAATAATATTATTATCATTTAAGCCACAAAGATAAATATGAATCAGAAAAGCATTAGGAAGATAAATATTTTAAATATATCAAATTCATTTACTTTTTTTTAATAATATAAATCGCGAATAAGGACTTATATGAAAATATTGGGTGATGCTGGGTGATGCTGAGTGATGCTGAGTGTTGCTGAGTGATGCTGGGTGATGCTGGGTGATGCTGAGTGATGCTGGGTGATGCTGGGTGATGCTGAGTGATGCTGAGTGATGCTGAGTGATGCTGGGTGATGCTGGGTGATGCTGAGTGATGCTGGGTGATGCTGAGTGATGCTGAGTGATGCTGGGTGATGCTCAGTGATGCTGGGTGATGCTGAGTGATGCTGAGTGATGCTGAGTGATGCTGAGTGATGCTGAGTGATGCTGAGTGATGCTGAGTGATGCCGAGTGATGCTGAGTGATGCTGGGTGATGCTGAGTGATGCTGAGTGATGCTGAGTGATGCTGAGTGATGCTGAGTGATGCTGAGTGATGCTGGGTGATGCTGGGTGATGCTGGGTGGTGCTGAGTGATGCTGAGTGATGCTGAGTGATGCTGAGTGATGCTGAGTGATGCTGAGTGATGCTGGGTGATGCTGAGTGATGCTGAGTGATGCTCGGTGATGCTGGGTGATGCTGAGTGATGCTGAGTGATGCTGGGTGATGCTGAGTGATGCTGGGTGATGATGCTGAGTGATGCTGAGTGATGCTGGGTGATGCTGGGTGATGCTGAGTGATGCTGAGTGATGCTGGGTGATGCTGAGTGACGCTGAGTGATGCTGGGTGATGCTGAGTGATGCTGAGTGATGCTGAGTGATGCTGGGTGATGCTGGGTGATACTGAGCGATGCTGAGTGATGCTGGGTGATGCTGAGTGATGCTGAGTGATGCTGAGTGATGCTGGGTGATGCTGAGTGATGCTGAGAGATGCTGGGTGATGCTGGGTGATGCTGGGTTACGCTAGGTGATGCTGAGTGATGCTGAGTGATGCTGGGTGATGCTGAGTGATGCTGAGTGATGCTGAGTGATGCTGGGTGATGCTGAGTGATGCTGAGTGATGCTGAGTGATGCTGGGTGATGCTGAGTGATGCTGGGTGATGCTGAGTGATGCTGAGTGATGCTGGGTGATGCTGGGTGATGCTGAGTGATGCTGAGTGATGCTGGGTGATGCTGAGTGATGCTGAGTGATGCTGAGTGATGCTGGGTGATGCTGAGTGATGTTGGGTGATTCTGAGAGATGCTGAGTGATGCTGAGTGATGCTGGGTGATGCTGAGTGATGCTGAGTGATGCTGAGTGATGCTGAGTGATGCTGAGTGATGCTAGGTGATGCTGGGTGATGCTCAGTGAGGCTGAGTGATGCTGAGTGATGATGAGTGATGCTTGGTGATGCTGAGTGATGCTGAGTGATGCTGAGTGATGCTGAGTGATGCTGAGTGATGCTGGGTGATGCTGAGTGATGCTGAGTGATGCTGAGTGATGCTGAGTGATGCTGAGTGATGCTGGGTGATGCTGGGTGATGCTGGGTTACGCTAGGTGATGCTGAGTGATGCTGAGTGATGCTGGGTGATGCTGAGTGATGCTGAGTGATGCTGAGTGATGCTGAGTGATGCTGAGGTGATGCGGGAGCGATGCTGGTGATGCTGGGTGACGCTGAGTGATGCTGGGTGATGCTGAGTGATGCTGAGTGATGCTGGGTGATGCTGAATGATGCTGGGTAATGCTGAGTGATGCTGAGTGATGCTGAGTGATGCTGGGTGATGATGGGTGATGCTGAGTGATACTGAGTGATGCTGGGTGATGCTGGGAGATGCTGGGTGATGCTGGGTGATGCTGGGAGATGCTGGGTGATGCTGTGTGATGCTGGGTGATGATGGGTGATGCTCTGTGATGCTGGGTGATGCTGAGTGATTTGGTGATGCTGAGTGAGGCTTAGTGATGCTGAGTGATGCTGGGTGATGCTGAGTGATGCTGGGTGATGCTGAGTGATGTTGAGTGATGCTGAGTGATGCTGGGTGATGCGAGTGATGTTGGGTGATGCTGGGTGATCCCTGAGTGATACTGGGTGATTTGAGTGATGCTGGGTGATTTTGGTGATGCTAGGAGTTAGTGTGCTGGGTGATGCTGGGTGATGCGAGTGGTGCTGGGTGAGCGGGATGATGTTGGTGATGCTGAGTGATGCGGGGTGATGCTGAGTGATGCTGAGTGATGTGGGTGATGCTGAGTTGATGCTGGGTGATGCTGGGTGATGTGGCAGTGCTCTGCGAAGCTGGTGAGCGTGTAATGTGGTGATGCTGAGTGATGTGAGAAATTTGCTGAGTGTTGCTGGGTGATGCTGTGTGATGCTGGGTGATGCTGAGTGATGCTGAGTGATGTGAGTGATGCTGGGTGATGCTGAGTGTGTGAGTGATGCTGAGTGATGCTGGGTGATGCTGATGATGCTGAGTGATGCTGGGTGATGACTGGGTGATGCTGAGTGATGCTGGTGATGCTGGGTGATGCTGGGTGTGCTGAGTGTGCTGGGTGATGTGAGTGATGCTGGTGTGCTGAGGTGATGCTGGGTGATGCTGGGTGATGCTGGGGGAGCTGAGTGATGTGGTGATGCTGAGTGATGCTGCGTGATGCTGAGTGATGCTGGGTGATGCTGGGTGATGCTGGGTGATGCAGAGTGATGCTGAGTGATGCTGAGTGATGCTGCGTGATGCTGAGTGATACTGGGTGATGCTGGGTGAAGCTTGGCGATACTGGGTGATACTGGGTAATAATGGGTGGTACTGGGTGATGCTTGTTGATGCTGGCTGATGCTGGGTGTTTCTGTGAGAAACTTGGTGATGCTGGGTGAAGATGGGTGAGCTGGGTGATGTGGGAGATGCTGGAGATGTTGGGTGAAGCTGGAAAATGATGGGTGATGCTGGGTGAATCTAGGGATGCTGGGTGATACTGGGTGATGCTGGGAGATGTGGGTGAGCGGGGATAATGATGGGTGATGCTGGGAATTGAGTGTGCTGGGTGATGCTGAGTGATGCTGAGTGATGCTGAGTGATGCTGAGGGGATGCTGCGTGATGCTGAGTGATGTGAGTGTGCTGAGTGATGCTGAGTGTTGCTGCGTGATGTGGTGATGCTGGGGATGCTGGTGATCTGAGTGTGCGGTGTGATGCTGAGTGATGCTGAGTGATGCTGGGTGTTTGCTTAGTGATGCTGTGTGTGGGTGATGCTCTGTGATGCTGAGTGATGCTGGTGATGCTGGGTGATGCTGGGTGATGCTGAGTGAGCTGAGTGATGCTGGGTGATGTGATTGTGCTGGGGAGTGAGTGATGCTGGGGCGTGAGTGATGCTCTTGATGCTGGGTGAAGCTGGGTGATGCTTAGATGCTGGGTGATGCTGAGTGATGCTGGGTAAATGTTGGTGATGCTGGGTGATGCTGAGTGATGCTGAGTGATGCTGGGTTGATGCTGGAGTGATGCGGGGGAACGCTGAGTGATACTGAGTGATGTGAGTAAATGTTGGTGATGTGGGTGAGTGGGTGATGCTGGTAATGCTGGGTGATGTTTGGAGATGCGGGGTGGTGGGTGATGCTCTGCGTTGCGTGTGAATTTGGCTGAAGCGGGTATGCTGGGTGATGCTGAGTGATGCTGGGTGATGCTGAGTGATGCTGGTAATGCTGAGTGATGCTTGGTGTGTGGGTGATGCTGGGTGAAGCTGGTGTGCTGGGTGGAGCTGGATGATGCGGGTGATGTTGGGTGACGCTGGGTGATGCTGAGTGATGCTGGGTGATGCGGTTGATGCTGGTAATGCCGGGTGATGTTGGGTGATACTGATTGATGCGGGGTTTGATGCTGAGTAAAGCTCGGTGTGCTGGGATGCTGGGTGAGCTGGGAGACGCTTGGGTAATGTTAGGTGATGCTGGGTGAAGTGGGGTGAAGATGGGTGAGGTGGGTGATACTGGATAAATGCTTGGTGATATGGGTGATACTTGGTGATACTGGATGAATTGTGATACTGGGTGATGTGCTGATGCTGTGTGATGTTGGGTGTTTCTGGGTGAAGTTGGTGATGCTGGGTGAAGATGGGGATGCTGGGTGATGCTGGTTGAGCTGGTGATGCTGGGTGATGCGGGGTTTGATGTGGGAGATGTTGGGTGAAGCTGGGTAATGATGGGTGATGTGGGTGAGTGGGTGATGCTGGGTGATACTGAGTGATGCTGGGTAAAGCTCGTTGATGCTCAGTGATGCTGGGTGATGTGAGTGTGCTGGTTGATGCTGGGAGATGCTGGGTAAAGCTGGTAATGATGGTAATGATGGGTGATACGGGGGTGATGGGTTAACTGGTGATGCTGGGTGATGCTGAGTGATGCTGGGTGATGCTGGATGATTCAGGTGATGTTGGGTGATGCTGGTGATGCTGGGTGATGTTGAGTGCGCTGGGTGATGCGGGGTGATCCTGAGTGAGCTCGGTGATGTGGAGGCGCTGGGTATGTTGGTGATGCTGGGGTGACTCTAAGCGTGCTGGTGATGCTGGGTAAAGTGGGTGATGCTGGGTGATGCTGGGTGATGCTTGGAGATGCTGGTGAAGCTGGATGATGTTGGGTTTGATGCTTGTGTTTGCTGAGTGATGTGGTTGATGCTTTTTGATGCGGGGGTGTCCCGAGTGAAGCTGAGTGAGAGGGTAATGCTGGGTGATGTTGGTGTGCTTGTGATGCTGGGTGAGTTGGGTGATGCGAGGTGAAG